TTAGATAGTTAAATTACAAAATTATATAAATAATTAAATAAAATTGCAGTAATTTTATAATCCTAATCATGATAGTTAAATCAAATAAGTTATCAAATAAATTAACAATATTTAAATAGATAATTCAAGATATTTCTCAAAGTTTATTAATAATTAATCAAATAAATTAAATAATTATTGCTTCATTCTTTATAAATTACCGTTCATTTGCGTAATTAATCATTGACAAGAAGTATAAAGTGCATCATTTACTAAATGACGCACTTTATACTTATTGTCAATAATCAATTATGCAAATATAATAATAATAAGCTCAAAGTAAATAATTTAACCAAGACTTTTAAAAAACTTATTTTTAAATTCTTGAGTAAACTTCAAAAAAAATTTTATTTAAACCTTTTGCTTTGTAATCACCATCTAATGAATACCTGCAGCTCTTGCTATCGAAAGCTTCCCTCTGAAGTATTCATATATGAAAACAAATTAAATAAGACATGTGCTAGCTATATGACTAGTAGAGCTAAAAAAAAAAATCCAAAAAGCTATCAGTGAAAAACCCCTATTGAAATAATTTTGATTAATGAAATTAGTGATCACATTTTAGATGAAATTAGTAGATTAGAATATAATACTACACTTTCTTCTACTTTTTGTGTTAAGCTTGATGAAGCTACTCTTAACACCATCGGCACAGATATTAGAGTAATGGCCAAACTGATTGTTGATGAAATTGAGGAAGGAGATGAATTCAAATAGATGTAAGTAAATTTTAAGTGGGCTGCCATCAATAGAAATCAGGCAGATTAACATTTAAAAAAATTAATACCTTACTATTATAGCTAAACTTTTCTAATATAGGGCAACTACTGTACCAAATATTTCATCCCGTCATAAAGGTGTTGATAATGCATATTTTGCATGTTCACTAAATACTAAGCTTGAGCAAGAATACAAAGATTTGAATCGCAAAAGAATCGACCATTTCAATTGCAGAAACAAATTAACAATCAATATTGATATTCTAGCTGTGAAGGCTAGAGTGGTATTGAAGCATGAATTAATACATGAAAAGCCTGTTGACATCGCAACACCTCTAGAGATAAAGCAAGAGATTATAGAAAATTTAAATATGGATCCAGTACACTTACGTTCACATCTCCAAACGAAATTTGATATTTCTGTAATTATCTCCAAACAAATTCACTATTGGTGGTCGTACTATGCACAAAAATTTTATAAAAGTGAAGAAGACCATGTTATTTCTGCATATAATTTTATTGAGAAACAGCAAAAAAATAATTATGACTTGTATTTTCGATTAGAAACTAGTAACGTTATCCCTTAAATTGTAACACAGGCAAATTTGCCTGTGTTTTTATTAAAAAGTTTAATTTTTTTAATAAAAACTT